GTGGGTTCAATTCCAGACCTGAAGGGCAGCTGGGGCCATAGTCGCAGGGGTCTCACCACGCTCCATCAGACCAGCAAACCTGGTCTTTTTTTTTTATGATTTTGAGTTTTGTCCCACATTGTTCTCCCACTCCATCCAGGATCTCCTACACCCACCCCCCTCCGAGTGGTTGACAGTGGTAGCCAGGTAGCTAGTCCTGGTCTCATAGTCATATAGGCTGAGGATCACGTGGTGTACCAGTTCCTTGGACTAATTGTTTCTATGTGTCTTTGGTGTTCTTCATTCTTCCTTGAGGAGAGACCCATCATTGCATCTAGATGGCTGCTTGCAAGCTTTTAAGATGCCAGGTGCTACTCACCATAATAGGATGTGGAACAAAGTTTTGGGTGGTATGTTATGCCAGTTGAGCTTGCAGTCCCCTGCAACCATGATGCCAAGCCCACAGGACCCATGGCTCACTCCCTCAGCGTGGCTGGCTGTGCCATCAGCCAGGGTTTCTGACAAGAGTCTGTTACATTCCAAGAGTGTCTCCCATGATGGAAGGTGAGGAAGCCAGCAGCTCCTAGAACAACATCAAAGAAGAGATGGAGGGCCCTGGGGCCTAGAAGTGACCCGAACCAGTGGGCCCTGCCCACGGCCTGCCCCTGCTCGGTTCTGGATGTGCAGTGTGGCTTAGTTAGTCGTGACACATCGGAGCTGGAGAAAACCAGGAAGGTGCTGACCGAGGGTCTCAGCCAGCCCACGTAGTGGCTGCACCTGAGCTGCCTGCAGGCCGGTCAAGCCCTGCCCTTGCCCTCTCCATCTGACGGTGCTGCTGGCCCGAGCGTGGCAGTGGCAGACACCTTACTCCTCCGTCCTGAGTAGTCCTAGTGGGGCTGGAGCGAGTTTTCTCAGCTCCCAGGAGACTGCGGACTCTGCTGGTGACTGACCCAGCGTCAGGCAGCTTGGTTCTCTTTCAGGCTAATCCACTGTGCGTGGCTGAGTCAGACCTGCCTAATGGGAGGGAGCCCACAGGGTCCGCGCGACCCTTGCACGCAGAGCTCCGCAGACGAGCGTGTCATCCTCACCCACAGGCTCTGCTAACTCTGATCATAGGCAGCTTCCTGGCTGGGGCTGACATGGGGTGGAAGGGAGCAGAGGGTTA